TAAAAGGAGAGGAGTCTCCTCGATTATGTTTCGGCAAATCCGTAAACTTCGCTTTTCGCAATTTATCTTTCGCGGTTTGAAAACAATAATGAAGCAGCAAACATAATTTCGTCGCCTGAATTAGCAAGATAGTCGTGAGATAGATGTCTTGATTCATTAGCATGTACGCACGTCGCGTACACTTTATTTGCTACTACACAAAGTCAAGCATCACTTTGTTCCTTTCATATATCGTGCAACACACGTTGTTCGCGCTGACTTCATCGACAAGTTATAACTTCGAAAGCGTCACGGCTGACGATCGGGCTCGCTTTTATGAATAGAAATGCACATTTTCAACCGTCCATATTTCTCTGTAGCTTATTTTTAACTCCTGTTTTTAACAGCGTCGCTAATTCTTTCGACCATCCTCAAGAAAAAAAAGAGTACCATTAGCATTAATAAGTATATTCTGTAGAAATCTCATCTTCTCCGCCGACCGGCCGTTCCAAGGTTTATTTATCTTTTTGTCCGCAGAATGTTTTATCCGTCAGGTATTAGTTTTTGATATTTTAATCGACAGAAAGTTTCGATGGCGCCGGTTGCCATCGATAGAGAGTATTATTATCATAAAATCATTTTAGAATAATGGCATCCGCTTTTTCATTTTGAAGCACGGCGCGTCAATCTCTCCAACGTTAACACAGTTACGGTATCTCTTTGAAAGACGATTATGTGGCGTGACTCTCTACACAACTACGTGCACGTGTATTCTGCTGCGTGCTCCAAGGCCCCGGCGTTGACGTTAGCGCACGTGCGCTACGCGCTGCAAGTCGAGAATTAGATCGAGCGAGATAATTGCGTTCGATATTTCGTAAGAGAATTACGCAAACAGGCCCGCGAAAGCTTCCAGTTCGATGTTAGGGCTCCAAAGGGAAGCGCAAGTTCTCCGAACTTTCCGGGGATAGTTATACAATATAGCAGTACAACGAAATCATTGAAGGAGAATTTCATTTTCTCTCCTCGTTGTTTTTTATTTTAAAAATTGTAAAATGTTATTATGACCATATAAATTATAATACCGCGTTCAACTTGCAGTCGCTTGTAAAATCCTGTTCTCTCGCATTTTTTATATTTCAATTTCATTGCCATTGTTTCGCGGTATTCAAAACATTTGTCTGCAGCAATGTACAGTTAGTTGAAAAACTTTACACATATAAAGCCCAGATATCGTTTCATCAAAAAAAAGATATTTCTCGCAAAATTCTCCGCTTCATAAATTATGCGGCTGTACCGCGCGCGAGCAATTTGCTTATCATTTTAGTCGCAAATTATGAACGAAGGAAACTAAGGTTTCCTCTGTTCGCCGTTTAAATTTACGGAGACGTACGAAGATATTCACATTCACAAGTTTTTTTTACTAATTCGCGATGCAAAACGATACTATTATGCTGTAAATTATAATTCTCCATCTCAAATCAAATTAATTTAATCGTAGTTCAGATTCATATCACCCGTCATCGCGTGGGATTATATACTGTTTAATTGTTTATTTCAGTCCCTCCAATAAATACATCATTGCTTGATTGTAAATAATATAGAGAAAAGTCCCCTGTTATGAGATAGTCTCCTAATATGGTATAGTGGAGTTTCTGCTAAATTAATAGGCATTACCTGTTGGTTCCACCATGAATTTATTACGGAGTGAAATCTGTTTAGTGGAAAATTGATCGTTTGATCGTGTAATCGTTGCGAAAAAAGATTTATGATTGAATTTGAATGTTGAAAGCCTACTATCTCACATTAGAATCCTATCTCATAATAGAGGACTTTCCTCTTTTATTTTTATAAGATTAATCATTTTGGATGGCAAATGTCAAATCGCTACAAATGTTAAATAGTTAAAAATATTAATTTCCGTAAGTATCTATACGTTTCCATAAGGAATAGAATAAAAAGAGTGAGAAATAGAGAAGAGCGTGGAATATGATCTTTATAAAATTTTTGCAAACCTTTATAAATTTTTGTAAAATTACTTTTAATACTTTTCTTGAGAAAAATGTTTGCTGTCATTTTAAAAATAAAGACAAGGTAATAAAAAGCCAAATAAGAAAAGAAAGATCCTGCGTACGCAATTATTCTGGTGATATTAAAAAAATAAGGTGTTCGCATAAATTTCGCGAATTTATTCAGAATCTCAGAAAAGTTGTGCACAAGGCTGAATTTCGCCTGTGTGAAGTCGGGCAAAAAGCTTATTAGCAGTGGCGCGCTCAGCAACACGAATAATTAACGTGTTCAACAAATTAACCTGTCGACGTTTAAATCTTCTAGTTCCGTAATTATTAATAAAGTATATACATTTTATGTACTATCAATTTTATATTGGCCCGAATAAACACGAGTTCATTTTTATATACTTAAAAATATATCAACAATTATATCGCCGTGGCAGAGATATCATTTTCTTATCGCAATAATAAAAAATTTACCATATCTACGAACTAAAAATTTATGCTTTTTTAAATGTATAAATATATACAAAATAATATAATATGTGCCATAATCACTTTACGAATTTATTAATCAAGATCTCGTTTGGGAAAATAGTCTGTGGAATTATTCGTTCTAATTAATACACATTGCTCTTGAAAATGCTACGTTTTACTGTCGAGATTGAATGAAACCGTGAAGGTATAGAAATCTTTTATCGATTTTCGTTCTTTTGACGTGTATTCTTCGACCTCCCGATATTGAACGAACTGTTAATTTTCAGTAAATGGTGCGCACGTTATTGTACAGATAGAAAGCCGATTTATACTCCTTCAAAAAGTTTTCACAACGAAGATAAAAGCAGTAAAGCGGACATGATCTTTTCCGCGGTCTGCCTTCACTTTTAGCTTCGCGATAAGCTTCTTATCTCTGAAACGGCCTGAGATATCATGCATTTCAGCGGGTCGTGAATATAAAGTAATGTGACATATTGCTTTAGACAAGTTCTTTAAACTACAGTTTATTACATGTAACCGACTGACTCACGTATAATATTCATTGCTGCGAAAATTGGCTAAATAGTGAATAACCACGTTTTAGTTTTCACTTACTCGAAAATATACACTCACTTGAGAACAATCGCGCTCATCGATTCAACGTCCTCCGGCTATTCCACGTAATTTGTAGTATAGGAAATTTTGTATTCGCATATGTAAACTTATCGAATGGTAGGGAACATTTCTATCAAAGAGATGCCGTTATTTTATCCGGCGAAATTCGACCGAAATGCCGTTAGCTGGCGTTTGACGCCGACTAAGTGGTACTCTAGCGAATGTCGATATTTTTCGCGTCCCTTTCTATTATCCTGGGAATGCGTGTTGTATTATGCCAGTCTTCCCTGATAACCCGAGAAGTAAGACCCTTGCCATCGGAAGCCATTCCGTTCATTCTTCTAGGAAAGTAAGCGGGGAGATCTCGACACGTTAGACTGACACGGGTCTCTAATGACTAATAGTCGGTAGTTTTATTAATAAAGCCACGTAGTGCAGCATTAGGCAACTTTACAGAGCGAAACTCTTTTCGTTACATTTCACGAGGGAAATTATAGAGACTATTGTTATCATTTCTGTCGCTATTACCGTTTTAGTGTGTTTTTTTTTTAAAATAATAACGTGTCACACAAGAATTGTAGATCTGCTGTTATTTAATTTATTACCTGTTATCTACTATCGTTTATTTAGTACGATCTTTTATGAATGATTTTTGAACTGGTTTTAAAACTTTCTACTTTTGCCGCGTAATCTATCTAAATTCTCTTATTGTATATCTTGCGATTTTCCCCTCACGTGAAGCAAGGACTTTGATTTCCCGAGTGATGTTTTGCATCAAAGAGAATACTAAACTTAAAAGCAACCCCATTAATTCCGCGCGAAGCTGCGTACACCTCAATTGAGATGTTATTTTAAAAATGCAGGCGGCCACGGGTATTTCTTTTCCCGCGTAATTTTCATCTCGCTAAGGAATGTCGAGTTTCCTTGAATGAGATTTTTGTCACATAGTAAATTATATCGAAATAAGAACGTTGCGCGTAGGAAAAACGCAAAACGACTACGGATGGTGGTACAGAATCAAAATTTAAACGGGAAATTTGTCTCTATTGTTTAAAGGAAATTTCATATCCTTCGAATACTAGAGAAATGAAATTCTAACATTTCAACTGCGCGCGCAACCCGTTTATTCTTTTATGAGTAACATCGGCGAGAGATCGTACATAACTGACGAACAAACTTGATTTTCAATAACATCTTCAGTGAAGTGGTGATCTTGTGGTTATGACTTTCACAAGAGTCCATTATCACGATCTCAAATAATTCTCGATATCGGTCTCTCCTACGTACATGACGTAGATATTACATTTGACCGACCGCAATCGCGGAGATTGGATTAATTGTCCTTTGCGAAAGCTGGCTATCCCGATTATGGTTTATCGTATCCCCAATGCAACCGACCTACAGACGAAGCCTCTCGTAGCTCCTCGTCTGATCGGACAATATTGACGTAGCTGACGACGCGGATTAAATTGAAGAATTCCTCCTCTATTGCTCGCGATTGATATCCGGCTATTGGTATCCGATTGCGCGACACGTCCAATTTAATATCTTATTCCGACACGGTTCCGAGTACTTTTTGCGAATCACTTTCTCCCGACGGGGAAACCCCTGAGGGCATTGTGGTGTACAGATTTGCGGCATTACTGGGCATTACTAAACATTTTTGGGGCATTTTTGGGTATTAGTTTGGGCATTAGACCTTGCTGGGGCGATATAAAGATAAAATAAGATAAAACAAGATAAAACAAGATAAATAAGTTAAAATAAGATAATAAGATGAAGTAATGCCCGCTGGGCATTAGTGGGCATTGGTGTATAAGCTTTTGGTCAGCGGTTTTCCCTCGCTTTCTCCCCTCGCCTTATATATCGGATCGAAGTTAAATGAAATTAGGTATAAGTTGTACTCCTTCTTTGTTTCAGAGACTACGAGAGCAGCAATATCCTGGACAATTTACTATCCCGCATGGAGCAGTACGCCACGAATTTAGAAACCCTGGTGGAGGAACGCACAGCTGACTACCTCGAGGAGAAACGTAAATGCGAAGAACTTCTCTACCAGTTACTACCAAAGTAAGTTTTCATGGAACGCGAATAAAACAGACCGTTCTTAGAAAGAACGAGACTGTCATTACATTTGCCGCGAGCTTTTGCCGAGAATTCGTCCGAGGCATCTCTCGCGTTTCGCAAAGCGCTATAAATATTTAAATAGCCGAATAGACACGGACAAATCTGACGGATACGAGATTTCTAACCCAAAGTAACAAGAAATTTAAAATGTATTATACGCTACACATTTTCTTTTATTTTATACATTATAGATTCAAAGTGCATTTGAGTTTTTTTAAAGTCTTTTCCTACCCTAATAATTTTGTAATATTGTTTTTTTAAGGGAATATTTTTGAAGGAATTTTAAAGAACTATTTTTTAACGAATTCACTAATTCTAATAATTGAATACATCGCAAAATTTGAATTTATCTCATAACTGGCTCATAACAATTAAATTGTAGCTTGCTTTCGTGCCAGTACCGTTTTCCATCTGAATTATCTAAATTATTATCAATATTTATTGCCAGAAATACGCTAATTTAACGGAATATAAATCAGTCGTGCGTATATAAATGTACGCGAGAACGTGCGAACGTTAATTATTACTAATTGATGCAAATGAAAGTAATAACGCTCAAGATATAAAATATCTTTTACGTCAAAGTACATTAACGCAGCATGACGTAAATTAAACGGTTAGAAGAATCCTTTCGTATCACAGACGGCGTGAAATTGAATATGACATGGAAACAGAAAATTGGTCGAATCGAACAACTTGTTCACGTGACGTGCCGCAATCGAAAGATTATCGAAAATTGGTCAGCCTTGAAATTGAAACTCATCTAAAAAGAACAGTGAAATCCCTCCAGCAGAATAGTTTCAATTCAAAATCGCAAAATCGAGAAAGTTAGTCACACGTAGCTCATTAATACGATCATTAATCTGTTCATATTACGATTATGATAAAATTGTTCACATTTGTTTGAAAATGTTACATATAATCGTAACGACACCGATTCGAAACAATTTGGACAATACCAAAATGAGATCTCGGTAAAACAACAGAAAATTGTATGTACACCAAATGTATTGTACATGTATATACATGTATTGTGTATGTACCAAAAGTATGCTCGTTTAAGCGAAACTGCTTCATTATAGCGTGCGTGGTTAACATATCTCGCGTAACTTCCAACGAGTAAGTAAGTAGGCGAACCTTAATAAACTTTATGAAGATAAAAGGGAGAGCGAAGTACGAGGGAAATTTGTTGAGAGCTTCGAAAACTTTATCACCGTTCGTCCCTCGCGAGTGATAATTCTTTTGGCGAGCGTCAGTGATGTAGTTAGTGCACTAACGCGTCACGTTTAATCGATATCACATCACGATACGTGACGTGACGACACGCCATTCGTATCTGAAACTTGGCGAGATGATTACGAAAATGTCTACGCGCGATAACTCCACCTTATCAGTCACTTGTATAATTTTTACTTGTGCACAGAATTCAACGTGAAAAATTAATTCTTTCGAACGCAACATCTCGCGGAATTATATATTTGTATAAACAAATCTCTTACAGCATCTCCGACTTTTTAATCTTGTAAAAGAAGAAGCATGTATAAATACTTTTTTTTACCTTTTTTCAAATCTGGAAAACTAATAGAAACGAGAACGCTAATCGCGCATATAGTTGTCCTTTAACTAACTTCTAGAAATTCAATTTTAAAATTTGTCGAATTGTTCTTGTGATAAAAAAGTTAAAACCAATTCCGCGGAAAAAAAAGTTTGTCAAGGGAAGTATTTTCTCCATATTTTTCCTTCAATAAGAAATGAAAAAATTTACAAGTTCATCAGAGAAGTTATAAAAGTATGCATGAGCATACAAATTCCACGTACATGTTTCGCTTAGAGATTTCGCTACGTTGTGTCGTACTCTTTCTCTTAATTAAGAAGTGTAAATAAAAAATAAGGCTTTTCTCTGTGCCATTTATATTCGAACACGTATTATGTTAGAACAGGTCCTGTATTCTTATTTTCCCTTACTTTAAATGAAATTGTATCTTGCTTTACCATCGGCAAAATGCCTAATACGCTCAAACGGATTGTGGATTACATAATTATGGATGTGCATGATGCATGAATGTACACGATGCACGACTGTCCAATGATCGCGCCAAGTCAAATGATCGCGCGGATCGGCCGTCCCTGCGGGACTTAGTGGCCTTTAAACTTCTCTCCCGCTTACCGCCGTCTCTGAAAGGCACGTGTTTGTTTGTCCCCGCGTGCAGATCGGTGGCGTCGCAGTTGATCCTCGGGCAAAGCGTAATCGCCGAGACGTACGATCAAGTGACTATTTACTTCAGCGACATCGTGGGCTTCACGAGCCTGTCGGCCGAGAGCACGCCTCTGCAGGTGGTCGATCTGCTGAACGACCTCTACACGTGTTTCGACTCCATTATCGAGAACTTCGACGTTTACAAGGTAAGTATCGACCTGTTTTAAGCGCATCCAGGGGCCGTAATGCGGAGATGATTTAAAGCTTCGGCCGAAAGGGGTGAATATTTTAACGAGTGAGAGAGTCACGATGCTGGCTCATGAAACGGCGATAAACTTTCGCTCGCAACTGCGTCCGACGGCGTCACACTCGCAATATCCAACTTCTTCCGGCGCAGTTTCATCGAAGCTGAACGAACAAAGCGTTTCGACAAGTTTTTCTGCTTGCGAGAACCTGACTTCTATTGAGAAACTTCGCTTTCACATCACTCTCTCCCTCTCTCCCTCGCATTTTTCCAGCAGTTCCACCTTCGCGTTAAACGATCATTCGGAATAACATATTGCACAGCCAACACGCTGTGTTTCTTATTGAATCAAGCTCGAGTTCCCTCGATTCTATATTTACAAAGTGTTCCACGTGTCGTTATTTGGAGCCTATCGCGGCATATTCGACCCGTTAAGGCCAACGCGAGTAAGAGACGAAAAGAACGAGAGGGTGAGAGAAACGGCAATCTCGGAGAACAAATCGCCCTTGATTTCTTAGAAGAGCGATTTTCCATGAAAATACCACGATTACCGCGCGTGGACTTGAATCTGAATTACTATGCAACATTCACGTGCGGGGAACGCGCCTATGGGAAAAATATTAAGTCAGAATAGGTGCAAGAATTACGTGGATTTACGATTGTAATTAAACGTAAAACGTACGTACGAAAAAGCGTGGAGCGTGTAGCGGCGCGAATCGCGCGAGACAAATTCGCGATAATGCAACTTCTTGCCGCGAGTGAAAGGGGACACTTTTGTCAGATCATTTAATTAATATAATAGGAACAAAATTGTATTAAGCGAGCATGAAACCGCGCGGAATTTTCAACCGATAAAACGCCAGTATTTTACAAGTCTAAAAAGCACCCCTTGGCGCTGCGCGATAGGCATATGATTACGCCGACTATATACATATATCTATCCCTTGCAACAGTCTCGCTGAACTCCATTACTTTACTCTAATTACAGATTAAACTTTCCCTTTCTCCCTCGAACGTTCTCTTCTTCTCTCACTACTCGCTTTTCAGAATATTGAATATCAAAATTAAATAATCCTCCGCCTACCATTTCATACCCTCTCACACGTTTCAAAGCAATCGCTAACGTGATTTTATTTAAACGCCGAGTTTATATTATCGGGGCTCCTTTTTTTCTATTGAAAAATAAACTTCATTAGAAACTATAATTAATTTCCCATTAATACCACGTCGCTTGCGATTGATAATTCACCAGTGTTTGCAGCTGTCTTATTTGTATCGAGTAATTATCAGAGCCTTTCAAGCTGACGCATCGAAAAAATGGTTCTCGTCACATCCGCAGCATATTTATTCGCATTCCGTGACACTTCCGCGTTAAACGTGTCTTTTAATCCGTTTACTATCTCACTCCGGTGTTGTGAACTTTTCAAGAATCCAGTGTCCTTGTTAAATATAATGGCATTATCTCCACAGATTTTTCTTTTTGCCCGACACCTCTTTCTCGCAATTAATCTATTTAACCCGAACAGGAAGTGTGATAAAACGGATAGAAATAAATAAAATTAACACGAACATTTTCCACGCGAACATACAATGTAATAATAGTCTTCTGCTTCTTAAATTTTGGATACGCGAATCAAGCTATACATGATATAAAAGAAGTAAATTTTACACGAATACGTTTTACGACATTAACTTTTTATCAACAACGCACATTCGGCATAACTTCTCTCGATTCTTACAGGTGGAAACGATAGGGGATGCTTACATGGTCGTATCGGGATTGCCGGTGAGAAACGGTATGAACCACGCTAGAGAAATTGCGAGGATGAGTTTAGCCCTCAGGGATACGGTAATGACATTCAGTATTCGCCATAGACCGCACGAGCAATTAAAACTTCGCATCGGCATGCATTCTGGTGAGTCACCGCGTCACTTCTTTTCGCTCGCGTGAAACGAAACGAGATTAGCCCTAACGTGATTCTGGGCCAGGATCGTATTGCGTACGGCCTACAATGTATTTCACGTTCCGCAGATCGATCGTCCATTGTCTCGTTGCAATATTATTATTACGTACGCCATTTGTTCCTCGCTAAGGGAAAGTTTTTCATATCTTGCTCCGTGGACACATTTTCAATGTCCCATTAAAGAGAATAGCACGTTCAACGCGTTGAAGAATGGCGTTACAAATCGAGTTTACCTTTCCGTGTTGCAGATCGATCGCATACAGCGAAAGGTCGAATATGTGAGTCGCTGAACTGATATCGCGAATAACATGAATTAAATAAAAAAACACGCGGCACGATATTTCAAAATACTTTCTAGCGGCAATTTTTCCCTCGAATTTTCATTCGCGGAATATCCGTTCATTCGAAACGACGTTCGATGCGAGCGGAACTGATTCGGAAATGGTATTGTTCGGGAAAATCAGCAGCCATCTGTCGTTACGAAAGAATAAACGATTGTACGTCCCGAGCGAAGTCGTTATCGTTTTCGGTTCAGTTTCCATTAAGTTTTAAATTCATGACACGATGGCCCTTAGGCAATTACGTGACGAGAATCTCTCTATTCCCCGGCAACTAATTCATCCCATTTCTATCTCTCGCTAAAAATTTTTCTCGGTAACAAGTGTCACGCGTATCCGAAGCGACACCCTTCAAGATCGCATAGAACTTGGATTACATCAGTCCCGCGAGAAGAAATGGCTCAGCGTGATATATAGCCGGGCGGTTAACTATAATTAGTGAAGTTAATTGCTTTTTAAATGGATTCGGAGTACAGCGTCGCTTCTGCAACGCCTGACAGGAATGATTAACGAATGCGCGAAAATCTTTATTTGTCAAATTCTTTTTATAATCATTTAAAGTAGAAAATTATCCCTCGAAAACATCTGAGAACCGGGGGAAGCTGGAGGAAACGACGTTGAAAAAACAAAACAAAAGGAAGCGAAACTGCTCTCACGAAATTATCCCGACGGTGCAAGGTATTTCGGTGATGTCTAAAAGGTATCCCTTTTGCGTAGAGAAAATCTTGAGGGTAGAAGAGAAAACTTAGGATCTGTTAACGACAAAAGACGAGAATTGTCGGGTGTTTTTACAACTATTAAGCCGTTTATTTCTATTATCTTTCGTGGGAGGAAGCGGTGATGAGGGTAACAACGGCGTGTATAGTGCCGGACGGTAACGTTTGCTTGCAGGACCGTGCGTGGCCGGCGTGGTGGGTCTTAAGATGCCTAGATACTGCCTGTTCGGCGATACGGTCAACACGGCGTCCAGGATGGAGAGTAACGGAGAAGGTAATTAACAGAGCTCAGTCATTCCCGGGAAAGAAACGTTTTATGCTGGGGATGTAATAGGGAAAGTGCGGAGGTAGCAAGTTATAGACACGCGGGCGGCAATTAAAGGGGAGACGTAAAGGTGTGTGGCTGCGAGAGCAAGGTCGCCGCTTAAGAGAAAATCGACCCTGTCTCGAGTGTTTCCATAGAGACCATGGTTAGCTCGTTTTCAAACCATGGGCGCAATCATAACCGTTGATTACCCTTAATCACGTGTTAACTTTTCCGCCAACAAATCCCGCGATCGCTAACAACACATGCTGCGTGTCCGCGGGTTATTATTTCATTCGATATATCAAACACATCACGAATGACCACGCGCAGCGCCAGAAGATCAATGTTGAATTCAATTATTCACAGTTTCGGGTCTCATTAATATTTAATGTAGCTTTAACGAGGCGCGACATTAAAATCATTTCGTTTTCGATACCCCTTTTATAATTACCGACTGCACACCCGCGAGAATTTTTTCTTTTCGCGGGTCTCTTTTACGGTTGACAACGATTGAGATCGCGCGGCTCGACGGAACGGCATGCAACGACGAAATTGATTGCGTACCGGATCTCGTTTACTGACACGCTTACGAGGCACGCACGAGTATCGCTCGATGTTGCGTGGGTGGTTTTTCCCTCACAAGGACTTGGGTGCCGGGCGCCGCTCGCGCGAGGCAAGGACGCACCGCAAGGCGCCACACGGCTGTTTATCGAGTTTCTTCGTAGCTCGTTTTGTGCGTCGTGAGAATTATATCACGCACGTTAAAGTTTCCGGGTGATCGATTACGCTGCAAGGGGCTTCGCGAATTTTCACTTCTCTACTTGTTCTTTCGACACGTCGACACCGTCGGATTTCGCGTTCGAGGGCCAAGTCGCGATACCTCAACTTCTCGTCATAAGGTGTTACCGTACGGTTATTGAATTACAATTTCAAATTGCGTCCGCGGAAACTCGGCGTTTAATTTCGACGCTGTCGATCGAGCAGTTTTCGCGCAATCAAAATATCAAGAGGGACTTTCAAGGTGTAAAGGATGAAGACAAAAGACCTTCTGAAGACTATGGTTTTGGAAAGCAATTAAATAATGCTTTACTCGTAATCTTCTACTTTTTAACTTTACTCTAGGGGGGAAATAAAGAGCTTTCTAAAGATTAATGTTTGGGGAAAAGCAATTCTCAATGATATTTAATTTTTAATTCATTTTAATCTTATTTCTATTTCGATTTCAATACCCTTCACATCTTGGCGTCCTAATAACGCGTTCAATTGTTAAGATATTTAATTATGAATTTTTTAAAATTGCGAGTACGAATAATCGTCATCCCGGGCATATTACATTCGCGTACAAATTGAGTTTAAATTGAAATTTAAAAGCGAGATCATAAAATGCGGTTCCTACGATATTTTCCGATACGCCGAGAGTTGACATATAAAACTGTAAATGTCGCGTTTGTAGAAAGTTATTTTCGAGACATCTTTTTGACTCGTATTTATAATGGTCGTATTAAAAGCGTATCAGGTGAAATGCTAAGCGAAACGAATCGGGATGAAGTTTCACATTTTAAGACGCGGACGGCTTAATAATTTCATTTTAATTAGAGATTCGCTTGGCGTTTTTCAGCCGAGAAGCGAAAACCTGACATAATATTTATATAATTCCCGACATAATTGAAACATTGCGCAATTGTCGCCAAGCATATCGTATCGTTACATAAAAATGCAACTGTTACACAACAACAGATTTTCAGCTCTTAGCTTTTTTTCCACGTCTTTTAAAATAAACTTCAAACAATAGTATAGTAAATCGTAGATGAAAGATAAATGAGATCGTCATCGCGGCCTTTTAATCCACAACCAATTATTATTCACCTACGAAATCTATAGCTAGATAATTTTTTCCAAAAGACTCTCGAGCACTTTTGTCGCATAAAAAAATTGGAGACTGTAGAAATTGTCAATAATATTCGACAAAGAATATGAGAGAGCGTATTGCGGAATTTTTCAGAATGAATTCCGATCGAGATTGTTCGTTTACTTTCTAGATTTCCATCGTGTTTTCTCGGAAAAACGGAATAATTGCGCTCGGAATTCATTCTCAAAAATTCCATAATGGTGCACCCAAATTGAAAAAAATAACGGACCACCCGCGCGGATAATTTCTTTCAATATGAACTTTCCATGTTTTTGATATGTTTTTGTAAATGTTTAAGTTGATATCTTGTTTATATCAACATCTTATTGAAATTTTAATTCGCTATATTATTTAGAAGACGCGTTTCATTAACGTATTATATATGTTATTTCCAATATCAAATATTTTAATACAATTGAGAGATATAATTGATCAACTTTTAATTTACATGAAAATTTCCGCAATAAAATATTTGTCATTCTACTTTGATTCAATATTTCAAGTTTACTCACATGTTAACAAATGAAACGAATGGATGGGCTATGAAAGATCAAAATAATATTGGCGCGTGTACGAAACAGTCAGCCATCACTTGTGCGTTTCTCTTTAATGGATAGATTAAAAAATGCAACCATAAAAATACCTCATTTATTCAGTGCGCATGTGATGCGCGCATATTAAAAAACCTCCGACCATTGCTTTATTGCATAAATTTATGTATTTAATCCTGCAAAGAGGCTACAAGCGCAGGCCTCAAATTTTATTTTAAAAAATATTTAAGAGAGGAACAGTGGAGAAATGTGTGTATACACATATTTCTGAAATTAATTGATTTGTATAAAAGAGCGAGAACAAGATCGGTCACGTTTCTTTCGCGCTCGATTTTGGTCACACGGTAAGTACCAAATTAAAGGTCTCATCATGATGATCGCAGATATGTCGGTCACTATTTAACGTTCTAGAGATATCGGGCTCCAAAAATTTCCAGGATGTAAGCGACGAAGCAGTCTGGACTCTGGACAGACACCAACCGTTTGTTTGGAACGGAATGGAACCTTCGCAGTCCGATATCTCTGGAACGTTGAATAGATAAACTCTGCGACTGACAAATCTGTAATCAGCTTGACGAGACCTTTCGTTTGGCACCTACTTTGTGACCAAAATCGAATGCGAAAAAGAAATGGGGCCATTTGTCTTGTTCTCACTCTTTAGTAGGGAAATTTACTTATTTCTCCTCCCCTTCGCCCCTCTTAAATATTTTTTACAACAAGGATAACCATGTTCTTCTCATCTTCATCGTCCGTAAACTACGAGCGTCGCGAAGGAAACAAAATAAAACGACAAAAGCTTTATATTTTCAAAAACGTCAGCTCTTTGCCTATCGCTAGTTTCAGCTAACGTCTTTCCTTTCTCTTACTTTCTCATTTTATTTACCTAACTAAGCAATACGTCCAAACGATACGCTTCAAAATTTACTTTTACTAAAATATGCTAAAATGAAAATATAATATATTTCGCGCGAATTACTTTGCGAAAAGTGTAAGGGACAGTAATATTTCTATTAAAGCGAGAAACAATTTTTCTTCCGCTGCCCCCGTTTCTCTGTCCAGCACCTTTTTACCAAGTGCTCTAACAGCGGAGCGCCTTCTATTTCTTTTTTGTCTACGCGAAAGCGACATCAAATTTCCTCGTAAATTTCAAGTAGCTCGTGTAACTCGCGATTAATATTCCGTTGCATAATAAGATATTAAAATGTGTTAATAAATAATCAACCTGATCAATAATGCATCGTTGATAGTGTGCTCTATTTTATACGAGCCTCGTGCATATGCATCCACGCAAGCGTAATAAATTTACATGGTTATATATTCTATGTACGTATTTCAGGATTAAATACCAAATAGATGCTAATCTATCAGAGCCCATCAATTTCAAGGCGATGGATCCGCTCGTGCGTGGGGGGGAAAAAGATAATAAATCGTCTGAAATATTTACGGATCCATTTCCTCGCCATAAAATAAAGGCTAATCCAGCACTCACCGATACGACGCGCAGCAGCGGGGTTGTAGCTCTACGTTGATCTCGAGGTTGATCTGCAACAGGCAAACAGATTTAAATTGTAGCGGCGCGTCAAACAGCTAATATTTCAAAAAATAATCCCCGCGCGTATTCAACGTTTCACTCGCGTTTGTGCCGCGCAATTTTTCCCCCTCCGAATGCTCCTTCCCCTCGCGAGTACGAGCTCTCGTTAGAGATTTCGTAATAAGAAAAATATTTTCTCTCCTTCACCTCCGACATAATTCACTCGGGGGTGTAGGCGACTTAGATATTTAACCAACCGGCTAATTCGCTAGACATATCTGCGATGATAAATTACTCACCCCTCGGTTGCCCCGCCGATGCCGGATGCCTCCCAGACCTCCTCCTCCTCCTCTCCGTTCCATCGTCGCAGCTCACTCGTGACGCACAGGCACAAACTTATTTCCAGAATACGACGATCGCGCGACACTTGACACGGCACTCCCGACGTCGGTTGATCACACGCGACGCACTTGCATCCGATCGAAGCCGAGAATCGCGATCGCCGATGCCGCGCACTTCCTCCTCCTTCTGTTCTGTCGCCTACTCGTCGCCGATCCCTCGTGACACTCGCGACGCGCGGGCACAAACTTATTTCCAGAATACGACGACCGCGCGACACTTGACACGGCACACCCGACGTCGGTTGATCACGCGCGACGCACTTACATCCGATCGAAGGGGCGACGCGAAAAGAACGCGGAGCTACGTTCCGCTCGGAGCGGCAACATGGCGTCGTGGACGGAGCCGAGAATCGCGATCGCCGATGCCGCGCACTTCCTCCTCCTCTTCTGTTCTGTCGCCTGCTTCTCGCCGATCCCTCGTGACGCGCGGGCACAAACTTATTTCCAGAATACGACGACCGCGCGACACTTGACACGGCACTCCCGGCGTCGGTCACACGCACGTTTCATCCGGGCGAAGGGGCGACGCGAAAAGAACGCGGGGCCTACGTTCCGCTCGGAGCGGCAACATGGCG